AACACTATTATGCTTGCTAATTTTACTATGTTATGGTTTGGGGCTTATTTGCAAGGGGAAACAATAATATAATACAGGACACATACTTCATATGATTATTTATAATAGTACCCAAAGAACGATATATAAAAGGAATCTTTTATAGATCGGGAAAATCTGTCTTTATATATATGGAAATCTGCTTTATATATATGAAAATCTGTCTTTATATATATGGAAATCTGCTTTATATATATGAAAATCTGTCTTTATATATATGGAAATCTGTCCTTATATATATGGAAATCTGTCCATAGACTATAGACCAAGAATCCAGCTAAGGGCCTGAATCCCACAGAAATGTCCTGCAGGAGTCCAGCTGAGGACCTAGAACTCATAACAATATCTCACGCAGGCCTGTTGCACGGATCTGCACTGCAAAGGCCCAAAGGTCAGTGGTGGAATCTAGGAAGTCTGTGCCAGCGGGATGAGGATCTGTGCTAGCAGGCTGAGGGATCTGCACTGGAGCCAGGAAGCGATGCTCAGAAGAATCAGAGCTCCCCCAAAAGGTCCCACAGCCATCCTCACCAACAGTGAGGTCCTGAGCTCCTCCGATGATCAAGACGGCCAAGTTCCCATCAGGAAAGCCAATGCAGCAAGCTTCTCCAGGAAACCGGCAGTGCACCATCTTCCCCTCTGGAGCCAGGAAGTGATACTCAAGGTGACCAGACCTCCCCCAAAAGCGAACCAAAGCTATTGTCAGTGCCAACAAGGTCCCGAGCTCCTTGGAGAATGAAAACCTCCAAGTTCATCAGGAAAGCCCGCATGACGAGCTCCCTCCAAAAAACCAACAGCACCTTACAGCTTCTACCAGCTCCCAACAGCCTTTCTCCGCTGGCAACAGCCTCACTTTCCTTCTCCAGTTCTGCCTGTTATGCTGCTGGCAACAGTCCTCAGGTTGGCCTCCTACACCCAGCACCACGCTTACTCAGTTCAGCTGGGGGTTATAAGTTGACCACCAGTTGTCAATCCACTACGTACTGCTATTGAACTGATGGCACAGTTGTTACTATCAACTGGTTTTCTCTGGATGCCGGTATCTGGGTTGCCTTTGTGTTAACAATGCTGTGGCCCATTCCCACAAAATTGGGTGCCGGGCCAAATATACAGCAGCCTCCTACCTCAAATAAAGGAAGGAAACATCCAAGGCTTACAGTTAGCCATGTCCAAGATGCATCATTGAAAAGCACACACCGAAGAGGTCTCTATACTAGCAACAAAGTCTTCTACTATAATCAACCCACAAACCTCAGCACAAAAACAAAGGAAAAAGCCCTACAACAACAGGAACGTGAAAAGACAAGACAACAAAATGCCTCCAAAAACTCCCCCAAAGCTGATCCATGGGACACAGAGGGGGAGGCAATCAAAAGCCATACAGCCAACATATTCCAAAGGCTAACAGAAGAGGTAAACATTCAGATTAATAAGGTATATGGCACCAAAGAAAATACAACTAAACAGATAACAGACCTACTAAACAAAATAATGAGGGAGTTTACAGAAAACACTAATAAAAAGTTAGCAAACTAAAAGAACAAAACATGAATGACCAGTTTAGCAAAGAATTAGAGTCCATGAAAAGATACCAAACAGAAATTCAGAAGATTAAATATTCTATTGAAAGCATGGGTAACACAAGAAACCAGTATGAGAACAGAGTAGAGAACTTAGAAGACAGGACTGATGCTGGTGACTAGTTATTCAGAACACGAAAAACAAGAGAACACGAAAACAAGTGAACATGAAAATTGGATTCAATAGCTGTTACATAGGGGCTGGGGATTTAGCTCAGCGGCAAAAGCGCCTGCCTGGCAAGCGCAAGGTCGTGAGTTCGGTTCCCGGTACCGGAGAAAAACAAAACAAAAACAAAACAAAACAAAAAAAAATAGCTGTTACATAATCCAAATATGACCAAGACTAATTGGAATTAGTGAAAAATCAGAAGACAACACAAAGGGCATTTTTAAAAAAACCTGTTGACAGAAATAACAGCAGAAAACTTTCCAAGTATGGGGAAAGAATTGAGCATACAGATACATGAGGCAGTCTATGGCCATACCACCCTGAATGCGTCCAATCTCGTCAGATAAGTGAGGCATATAGAACCCTGACTATGGACTGAAACTTCTACAAACTGTGAGCTGACACACCCCTTTCCTCCTTTAACTTGTGGGTGTTGGCACTGTGTCTCAGCAATAGGAAAAGTAACTAAGACACCAATCTTACCAAAAAAAGAAAAAGACCCAAATCACAGTAATTCGAAATGACGAAGTTGAAATCACAGTAGACTTGCTGAAGTGAAGCGTATTAGTAACTACTTTGAGAATCTGTACTCCAATAAATTGAGAATCCAAAAGAAATGGATAAATTCCTAGATACATATTAAATATCAAAATAGAACCAAGAAGACATAAAATCTCTGAATAATCCAGTAACTGCCAATGAAATTGAAGCAGTAATTAAAAAAAAAATAAACCTACCATCTAAGAAAAGCCCAAGACCTGATAGATTCACTACTGAATTCTATAAGAACTTCAGGGAAGATCTAAGGCCAATACTTCTCAAACTTTAATGAACTTGAAAGGAAGGTGTACTCCCAAAGTCATTTCTTGAAAGCTAGCATTACCCTGCTTCCAAAACCAGGAAAGGACCTAACCAAAAAAAAGAGAGACATAATTATAGGCCAACCTCTCTAATGAACACAGATGCAAAAATCTTTAATAAGATACTAGCCAACAATGCAACAAATCATAAAAAAGATCGTATGTCATGACCAAGTAGGCTTTATCCCAGAGATGCAGGTATGGTTCAATGTACACAAATCAATAAATGTAATACATCACATAAACAGAAGTGAAGGAAAAAATTACATGATTATATCAACTGACACAGAAAAAGCTTTTGACAAAATGCAACATCCATTAATGATAAAAAACCCTGAAGAAATTTAAAAGGACCGTACACAATGTGACATAAATCATTTATGACAAACCAACAGACAACATCATATTGAATGGGGAAAAGCGATACCCATGTTTATAGCACCACAACTCCTAAGACCTGAATGTTGGAAGTGATAGCCTATATGTCCATCAGTAGATGAATGGATTGGATAAAGAGAATGTGGCATTTATACACAATGGAGAACTGCTCTACCATAAAGAGGAATAAACTTGAGTTACCGTAGGAAAATGGATTCACCTTGAGGCCATAATGCTAAATGAAATGAAGCAGCTTAAATATCACATGGCTTCCCTTATATGAGAGGCCCAAAGCACACATGATTAAAGAGTAAGACAAAAGACAGACGATACTAAATAATGAGGGGGATCTTTTCCAAAAGGGAAGGAGACCAAGAGACACAGGCAGGGTTTAGGGAGGAAGAGCGGGGAGATGAAAAGACGAATTAAGATGCATTGTATACATGTACGGATGCCTCCTTAGGAACGTGATCGTTACATACTGAAACACATACCAACACACAAAGAAATATGTATGGAAAATGACGGCATACATTTAGAGTTACTCAAAGACTAATTTTAATTAAATTCAAAATAAGAAAAATAAAAACTAAAACACAGTATTGTTTACTCTGAAAAATCCAAGACATTTCTTAACTAGCTAGAATCCTACAAATGGCCTTAACATTGGGAAGAAATAAATCCCATGCCTTTTCTGCTTCTGGACCTCAGAACATTCCTTCACTGAGTCAGGCATCAGGATGTCAGAGTGTGCAGAATCTGTGTGAATGCTGGTTATTGAAGAACTGATAAAGGGGTCTTGTTTGCTGGACAGCTGTTGGCTTCATTGTTCTTTTGTCACACACTAGAGAGGAGAATTGGTATGCTAATGGAATGTGGCCTTCTCACTGGGTAGCTGTCACATCGTGACCCGAAACACTGCCTGAATAATCTATTTTCACCATCAACCATAAAGGAAACGGTAAAATAACAAAACACAAGACCCCAAAAAACTGTTAAATGAGCAGTACGACTGCTTAAAATCAGATCACTTGTAAGAAACATTTCTCAATACTCAAGATTCCAGAGTTGAAGTGTAATGTTCTGTCTCAGTTTATTAACCTTTAGTGTATCACCTCAAAAGAATTTATTTCAGAGTCCAAGTAACTCTTAGGATATTCTTCAAAAGATACTTTGTACAAACACTCCATCAATAATGACTACAAAATTATAGGTGCAATTCCTTTATTTTTGAATTAGCTAATGCCTCCAATTTGGTCATTTATGAATTGTTTTTATTTGAGCATGGCTTTCAATCTTTCTGACCGTTATTCCAGCAAGAAACACATTTTACACTGCAAGCCAGTATAGACACACACACGTATGCACAGGTGCTGAAGTTTAACAAAACAAACTTTTCCTTACTATGTAAAACGTTCTCAAATATCTTTGAAGTGCTGGCAAAGACCCACACAATTCCTATCACGAGTCACAATTTTCAGTATCACTGCATCAGATGATGAAAACCTAATGCAACATCCACGCATATTACGAACACAGGCTTTTACATTGTGTTTCTCTGTGAACAAATGGTTCTCTCCAGGGTTGACTCACAAGTCCCCACATTCTGCTGCTTTTCACTAGGGGCTCCGAGTCCTACTCAAGGCAGGCAGGAGTGGGCAGGGCAGTGGGAGACGGAAGAACAGTCAGGCCCCAAGGCCCTCTGCTCCCCATCCTGCCTGCTCTGACCTGTGGAGCAGGCCTTGCTATTCAAAGCCTGTCTTTCTTTCCCCTCACACTTAATCTTCATTGTTACTCCTCACCTTGGGCACACAAACACACACGTACAAAGTGATGAGAAATAAAATCCCACTGGGTAAACAAAGAACCGCAAATACGGAAGTTATTTGAGTTTTTAAACTTCTAGTCAATATTGTACTACTCTCTGCCACACTCAAACCGTTGGACATTTGTGATAGAGATGGATTTTAAACTTACCTTTAAGTACTCCCACAAGGGGAACTGGACCAATGAAAAAGGAATCTGGAAATAGAGGAGAAAAAATTACACAAATTAGAAAAGTCAGTGTTTGCCTAGCAGTTTGCCTAGCATTATTATTATAAGAACCTATAATTACTGTTTAGAATACACACACACACACACATATATACACACATACATATGGCTAAACAAACTCACAGGTAAACGTACACACTTAGAAAAAAGAGGCAAATTATAACTGCAGATCCTCCACAAGGTCTGGAGTCCAAGGACACAGAACGATGCTGTGATTCGCTGTGACATGCAAAGACTTGACAGCTTTCTACTCGGGAGTTCCGGCTCATCTGCAGCTTAGTGCTCAACGTATTAGGACTTAAAAAAGAAATGGGACAGAAGATGGAGGAGGGAGTGCGGAGGGACCAGGAGCTGGAGAGGGCGGACAACAGACGGCAGGAAGGGAACGGAGCATGGGGGAGAGAGACAGGAGCGGGAGGAGAGAGAAGGCAAGTGGAGAGGAAAAGGAGGAGTGAGCAATGGAGAGAGAGACGGAGGGGACGGGCAGACAGAGGAGGGGGACAGAAGAGGACAGAAAGGAGAGAGGAGAGAAGCATAAAGAAAAGGGAAAGGGAGGAGAAGGAGGGGAAAGAAAAGGCAAGGAAAGGGAGAGAAAGGAGAAGGATGCGTAGCAGAGGGCACGCAGGGAAGAGAGAAGGGGACAGAGCACTGCAAGAACAGGCTGAGTTTGGGATCCAGGACAGAGCATCCGGCCCCGGAGCGGTGGCTGGAGGAGCACCGTCCACCCAGAGCCGGATGGAAGTGGCCTGACTCCTGCCCCAGGTCAAGGGCAGTCAGGGAGAGAAAAGACTCAACAGCGACTTACACAGGAAGTAGTTACAGTGAGTTGCTAACAATACAGGCTAAAATCATCAGGTCTTTATAGTTTTACTTCACCAAATCCTCTTAAGAACAGTGCAAGGCAGCCAGTTATTACCAACCTCTGCTATAGATGAGGAGTCTGAGCAGCTACGTAACATGCCTAAAGACTTAGGTATTCATAGCCCTGCCTCTACCACACCACCGAAGGGACATCTGACAGGATTTATCGGAAGAAAAATTACTCCTAGTACAATGGATCTGCTGTTACACTTCCTGAAATTCTAAAACAGAAGCCGCCTTCATGTTTCCTAAAAAATAAATGACTAAACTGCAGCAGGCCCACCACTACTTATATCTAGTCACCGACCCACAGGCCAGGGTCTGTGGCGACACGGACGGCACCTTGCGCATGCCAGGGCCGCCGTACCCTGACCTACGGACAGATGAAGAGTGCCTACCTTCGCAAGAACCACGGCACTGAGCTACTTCTGAATATTTGTGTGTACTTAGAAATTTGAAGTCTAGCAGCACCTAACTCAAAACGAACGACTGCCCTGAGTGTAAGAGACAGCGCCCACAGAGAAACCCTTCTTTCAGCCGTGTCACAGTGTACATCTCGGTGCCCCCAACGCTTCCCGGGGCCACAGGCAGGCCCTTGAGGAGGTGAGGGGTTACGCAGGCACTGCACCTGACTTGCTGTCAGGAGGCGGGGCTTGGGCAGAAGACTCGGGTCACTGTGGCAGCAGGCAGGTGAAACCTCCCTTCCCGGCCCCTCCCCTGGCTCTGCTTCTGTCACGATGAGAGAAAATTTCTCCCGCCACTGCCATGTCGTCTGGCCTTGGAGCCAGGCAAGCATGAACTGAAACCTCTATAAACTGTGAGCCAAAATAATCCTCTCCTCCTTTGAATTATTGTGCACTCACGGTTAAGAAAAGTGACCAAGACAAAGCAGCAGAGAGAGGAAAAATGCCAATAGTCTGGCTTATATGGCAAAGGAGGACCTCAGAGAAATTTGTTCTTGTCAGAAGTGAGCAGATTCCCACTGTGAATGTCAAAAGTCCCACGAGAGGAATCAAATTTAGTTTAGATTTTCTTTTCCTTTTCTTTTTCCTCTTTGTCCACCAGAACATAAAATCATCTGACACTGTCCATTCTGAAACTAAACAGAGGTATTTCCAATTAAATTATCAAAACTTCAAAATGTGCCTACATCATAGGCTTCTAAAACCCTTTCTAAATTTTTAAAAATGTATGTGGTAAAATACATCCATGAGGACTAAGAAGCAGGGTTACAGATCATGTGCTCCTCTCCTCTCAAATGCTAATATAGCACGTTTTAACAAGATTGTAAATATTTTACATATGTAAGATGAAAAAAGCATTAAAATGTATTGGGATGATCTCTGCTAGAATTATTCACATCTCGATTAAAATAACCCGTAACACTGCACTAAATGTTATCTGAACTTATTCGATATTGCTATTAGATTCTGAATTCTGTGGAAGAACATTTGACCCATTTTCCTCTATTGCAAGTTATTAGTTAAATTGTTCCTTCCGTTTAGAGAGGTAATTTAAAAATTGCATATTTGGAATGGCCAAACTAATCCACCGGTTATTTATTTTAAAAAGTAAGCCAACAGTAAATCCTAGCATTATGCTCTAAAACAAGATTAACTAACAGTCTAAGATAATTAAATGTACTATGAATGTTTAAATAATTATATTTATTTCTGGCTTCTAGTAGTGAAATACCGCTCATAGATAAATTTGTGATGTGTGAGAAAATTTTCAAATGTGCAAGTCAAAAGTGTGTGGCACACTTGTCGCTCATCGTGTGAAGCAGTGGTTGTAGAAATGCGTCCCACACGTGTAAGGCAGCCTGCCAGCAGTCACGGCTACGCGCTTACACGAACACTCCTCCCGCTGAGGGGAGTGCAGCCCCCAGAGAGGAGCCACCTCCTGTCTGGGCTGGAGTTCCACAACAGCGAGGTTTCTTCCAATCGCGAAGTTTATACCCCAAACAGAGGTGAGCTGTTATTCTACAATGTTTTATAGATGAAGAACATGAATAGCTGCAGTCAGCGGTCTTCTATTCCCAAACACGACATACCTGTTCTACTGCACTGAAAGCTACAAAATGGCTCACTGTGGTGACCTGTTTAATGCCTGCATTTAAGCTGTTTTGTTTGAATAAGGCTATTAAGACCTGGGGCACTAATAAGTGAGTGGCAGTAAACCCAGCTACCATCAAAGAGGCAGATGGAGGGGAAAACCCACCACAAATCAACACAGTCTCCCCTTAGTACCAAACACAGCAACTCCTACAGCACAGTCCGTGTGAGGAGGGTAGGCAGAGGAAGCAACATGAAACCGGGGTGTAGGCATCAGAGGAAGCAAGTGCGGGGTGTCACTAACGACATCAGTGATACACACAATGACTAATTCTAAGCATGCTTTATCTCTCAGTAAGTACTGGACCGGAACTATCCTCAAAGCTGAACAATATTTCCAACTCTGTGATCTAGGAAGGTACTATTCAGAAAAATCTCAAAGGTACATTTTATAAACATAGAAAAATCTACCCTGAAAATCACAGGGATAGGTCCTAATAACCTGAAACTAAGAACAGAGTTGGAGATCTCATACTTGCTGATTTCAGAAGTTATTGAAGAGCTACAAGGAGAAAGTAGTTTTGTAGTGGTATTAAGACAGAAATACAGACCAACAGAATACAAAGGAGGAGCCTGGAAACAGAACTGCAAATATACTGCCAAAGAGCTTTCAACAAGCATGCCAAGACCACTCAACAGGCGAAGGAAAAACCGGATATCCACATGCAAAGGAATGAAGTCTAGCCAAAGTAACTGTCATTAACAGTTTGGGATATATCTAAGTTTTTTGATTAAACATTAGTACACAGAGGTTCCAAAATTTGTTTTCCTAAACCATGTATCAGAGATATGTCCATGCTGATTAATTTAATCTTTCCTTCTGAACTTGGCATAATATTTCACAGTCCCTTACTAATAGCTTATTTTCATGTTTCCCCACACTACACTATTTTAAAAATCATTTTAGACATATCATACAGATTATAAACATCTTATTTATGAACATACCTAGCAACATGGTAGGCTAATGCCCTAACATTTATAATTCCTTAGAAAATGTCCAGTATGAACACTCAAGTATATTAAAGTTTTAGGCCTCAAGTTTACTTTAATCCATCAAAATGAAAATCACAAAATAACCATTTGATATTAACTGACTCCATAGCTAATGTTCAATACTTGCTTTAAGATGTAATCCTACATCTGGAAGTCTTCAAGCGCAATTACGACAAATTACCAACCTATGTCTATCTGAGCAAAATACAGACTGAGCATCCCTAATTCAAAAATTTGACATCTGCAATGCTGTAAAATCAGAAACTTTTTGAATGCAGACATGATGCTACATGTGGAAAATTCCACACCTGACCTCATGGGATGGGTCGCAGTCAAACACAGGTGCAACACAAAAACTGTGTAGAATTACCTCTAGGCTATGTGCGTATGATGCATTTCACTTTTAGACATGGGTCCTATATCCAAGATATCTTGTTATGAATATGCAAATATTTCAAAATTCAGAAACACTCTGGTTCCAAGCATTTCAGATAAGGGGTACTCAACCTGTATAAACATCATTTCACACGCAGACACATGTTGTACCCAAAATTTAAAATTTAGTAAGTAACTATTTTTGTTGGGGAAATTCTTTAAAAAAAAAGGAAACCCCTGAAAGAGCTTTTAACAAACTATTGTTATAGGGGCTGAAGCTGCAGCTCACAGGTAGAATATGTATTTTTTGTTTGTTTGGTTGGGTTTTTTTTGTTTTTTTTTTTCCAGTACTGGAATTGAACTCATGACATTGCACTTGCCAGGCAGGCACTGTGCCACTGAGCTAAATCCCCAGCCCCTCTCACAGGTAGAATATGGGTTGAGCATGTGGCAAAGCCCCAGTTTTGATCCCCAGCACCTACCTCCAAAAAATATATTAATATATAAGTAAATACACACAACGTAATATGTACACACATACACACTGATTCCTTCAGTGATTCATTTATTTTCACTGGCTTCTGGAAGGAATTGTGGGTCACACTGCTCAAAATAATCACT